TTTGACAAAGCTCCTTAATCTGGAGTTCAAATTTAGAGATGGTTTGTAAAACATCTTTTGCTTAGTAGGGTAGGAAAATCTGAAAATTTATTGCAACTATAGAATGTGACACTCCAACATTACTAGTTTCTTAATACTGGAAAATAAGTTGGCACACATTCACTTACAGAAGGGTCTATTGATGATGAGGGATGGGGGGGTTGCAGGTATGTCTATTGAGAAGTGCTAAGCTTTATGGTATATTTGTGTACATTTATTATTTTTCCTAGTGAAGGTACATATCTGCTCCGACAGACATTGCTGTCCATACAAACATTACACATACATTATTGAACATTCAGATATAATAGGAGAGATGTCAGATAACATACAATCAGACATGAGTTACATTCATTAACCACAGCTCTCATCCATTCATGAAAATGGTGAAACTTTGATATACACATCACATTTGACTCCAATCTCTCCTAGTCTATGAAAGAAAGAAAAAAAGGGTGAACTTCACTACTCTTTAAAAATAAAAATCTCAAGAAGTTACTGTAGGCAGAAACTTCAATCTCCCATTAACTTCAAATTTATATCTGAATACAAATAAAATGAACTACAGATTAAAAGAACTAAAAACCAAATTCAGTGCCCTGAGTGGACAATGATCACCATCTCCACACTGGGCTCTTCACTGTACTCTGCCAAGTGTACGGGTGACACGGCAGCCGAGTGATGCTGCAGGACGGCTGGTCCAGGTTGACTGGCCTCCCCCACAGCCGGCTGCCTGACAACCCGTCTCCGCGAAAGGAGGACAAAGGCCCTCCTGACCCTCTTGTTTCGGCCGCCCCTTTCTGATGAACATGGAGACAAGGAGGAAACGGACTTCTCGGCAGATGTCTTGGCTTGTTTTTGGTGCTTTTTTGACCTCCACACTGGACCCAAGGAAGGTAGCAGGCCCTAGTCAAACTTCTCTCGTAGGCGATTCTTTAGGAGGATTGGCACAAGGGAGAGGCAGGCTGCTAGACCCAGTAGTACCTGAAAAAATGAAGAAAATATTGAGTACATGCTATCTTTTGATAATGTATGGTGACTATAATACCAAAATTCCAAAAGATAATAATGCTTAAAAGGCAAACAAAGCAAACTTTGTTTACTTTTGTATTATTTTATACCAAAAAATTGGGTTAGCCATTTCTAAATTTAATTTCCACATTAACAGTCTACACCACACCAAAATATGCTCTCAAATGTGATATATTTTTTCTTGTGAAGATAAGAAAGAAAAAAATCATATCAGTAATTGTTTATCTGTGGTATTACAACATATAAGAATATCCCACTATCTTTTTTTTCTTCTAAAAAAAAAAGACAATGGCAACAGATTTTTCCTACTTTCTTTTTGCATTCACTCTTCTTTATTTCTAAACTCCAGAAAATTTGTAATTTAATTAGTAAGGACCTGCTCATGGAACTAAACCTACACTTACTTTGAAATGTAAGAAACCAAAGAACTGAAGAAGCAGAAATGGAAGAGTATAATTTGTTTTACAAATGAAAACATTCATACATACATCATTGTTGTAAAAGTACCACATATCACAAAAAGAAAATCTTAACTTCTGTAGTTAAGAGAATGACTTAAGGTTAATGGTTAAAAAGCAATTAAATTTGCTAGACATCAAAGGTTATATATAGCATTAGTCATATAGGAAAGTAAAGTAATAAGAATTGTAGAGGGAATGGGAGACAGACAGGGTGGATGTGGGATAGGCGTGTTTTTTTTTTGGGGGGGTCGTGATCGGATTTTTGAACATCCACAAAGTTTCTGAAAGGGAGTTGGTTGGGGAGGTCTAAGAAATGAAGGTCTTCTTATGAGGGGGAGAAGAGGGGATTGGCATCTGAGGAGCAGAGGAAGAGGTAGGTGTAGGAGAGAATGTGGTACAAGAAGATGGGGTGGAATATTTATATTGTCTGATGTGATGGGTACAACAAGGAGGGGGGGTAGAGATTGGAGTGTCTGGGTTTAGAATGGCAAAAGAATTTGACTGGGAGAGGGAGGGGCAAAATTGGAAATGTAAGGAGTAGGAGATGGGGAAGGGAAGAACAAAGGACAGCACAAGAGTAGGAAACATGAGTAAAAGGTCTTTGGCATGCTTCCTATTTGGCTTCCTGTAAAGTGAGGCCAAGTTTGAATCTGCAGACTGTTACCTCAGATTCAAACTTCTAGGTAGGGCAACCCCTATTAAATACATTATGGAAGCCACCACAACTGGTACATGAGGATGACTGTGTAGGACAGTTTAAATGATCATGGTCAAGTTGGGAACATAGAAGGCAGTAGACTGTGGAGTGAAAGTACTTGGCAGGGTGGCCTAAAAGCCAGCATTTCTAACATTGATATGGGGTTGATATAGTTGGATAAGGCAGGACTCTCCACAAATATAAACTGCAATAAGGTCATGGCTATTGAAGGCACTCTTTCTAATACTGGTGGAGGACTTTCAGCAGTTTCTGCAGGAATAGTATAGCACTGTATTGATACATGACAATACATGACCTTGGACTCGGATGTAACTATGACAAGGTGTGAACGATTAGACTGACTGCAGAAGTAAACTTTGCCCACTTGTTTTGGGGGACAATGTTGGAAGAGGATTAGGACTGACTGCAGAAGTAAACTTTGCCCACTTGTTTTGGGGGACAATGTTGGAAGAGGAGGGTATTGTTAGAGTAAGGGGCTACAGGGAGCACAAAATATTGATTCCACTTAGCTCATGTAAAAAGAGTACTAAAAAGATTTGAAGAGGTGGAAGTAGTTGAAGGACGAGGATGGGAGGAAGAGGGAGTGAAGTTGAGTGAGGAGATGAATAATATGGATGAAGAATAGTAATGCAGGAGCAGAGCAATTTGAATGGTCATGACCAGGTTGGGCACATAGAGGGCAGTGGGGCTGTGGAATGATAGTATTTGGCTAGGTGGCCAAAACACAAACATTTCTGACACTGACGGGGAAGAGGTCAATATGGTTGGATAGGGCAGGACACTCCACCAATATAAACTTCACGGGGAAGAATATTGTCTTTGAAAGCTAATCTTGGCAATACTTGTGTAGGACTTATGTTGGCCCCTTGGAAAAATGGTGTAGCACTGGACTGCCACTGCATCATAGTCGACGAGGAAGGCGAGGAAGTCCTTTTCGCAATCTGACCAGTCCTTCTTGTAGAAGAGGACAATCAGTTGGAGAGACAGAAGCAGTTCCAGTGCAAGTATTTTGGGAGTAAGGTTGGGTAGGAAGAGGTTTACCAGTGAGGGTAGATACTGTATGAGCTTGGGACTCAAATTTAACTGTGACAAGGCGTGAATGATCAGAATGACTGTGAAAGGAAACTTTGCCTACTTGTTTTTGGAGACAATGTTGGAAGAGAAGGGTATTGTCAGAGTATGGGGCTGCAGGGGGAATCATGAAGAATTGATCCCACTTGGCTGGGCCAAAAAGGGTACTCAAAAGGTTTGCAGAGGTGGAAGCAGTAGAAGGATGCAGGCAAGAGGAAAATGGGGTGGCATGGAGGGAGGCAGTGCTGTTGGGAGGAGGATAATAGGGATGAAGAATAGTAATAAGGGGGGTGGGGGTGGACAGTGAAAACTGTGTAGTCGAAGATGGAGTGGTAGATGTTGAGAGAGAGAGGAAGGGGTGTATTCTGAAGGTAATGAGTAATTCTGAGTAATATCTTGGGTGGATGATTCAAAATGGATAGAGTTGATTGAAACTTTTTACCCTAATTCATACTTTTTTCAACAATTATCACAGTATATTCTGTTCAGATAAAAGAGATACTTGGATGGGTGGACAGGTGGGTTACATACAACATAACCAATAATTAAACTCACCACAGAAGTTAAGGAAAAGGCATCCCTGGAAGAAGTTAGTTCATATAAAGTAGTACCTGCTTGTACTGCCAGTATACTTGGTGGGGCAACACCTGCAAGAGACAAGGGTGCTTGATTCTATTCTCATCGTTTCATTCATCTCATATGTCAGCTAAATTCCTAACATTAAGCCCGAGCACATACCCTTCATGAGGAACAGGCTCTTAATCTTACCTAGAAAAGTTCCAAACCAAAATGGCATCAGAGGCACATTGATAACGGGACTGGTGATGTTGATGAACCAATTTGGAAGGAAAGGCGTGATGCGTAAGAAGATGATGTAGAAGAGTAAGTTATCCCTCTGCTTGTCAACCTGTGGATTAAAATAGGTGCTGAAGTTACTCAGTAAAATACATGTATTCAAAACAACAGAAGATGTAGATTGTTGAAGAATTGTGACAGCATGCAAACTTCTTAAAGTACTACATGTAAGAAAAACTCTTTTTCAATGATGATATCCCAGAAAATAATTGTACAACTAAATATTCCATTATGAATTTACTTTTGCTCTACTACTACATAAAAATTATAATCATATAGACTGGAGTATATATGAATCAAAATAAGAAAAATACATGTGTATTCAACTTTCATGCTTTCCCTTTGCATATATATCTCACCTTTTCTTGCCATGACTTTGTGCGTTCTGGCATATATTTAAGGACAGCAGGTCTGCCTGCTAGGTAAGAGAGCAGGTAGCAGAAGGAAGCACCAGTAGCCGAGCAGAAGCAGATAAGTAGCAGTGCTATTTCCCACCTGAAGAGGAAACCTAAGGAAATACATGCTGCTGTTAATAAACAAGCACACAATATTTTTACTTATCTTATTGTTACAGATGTGGTACAACACCAATAAGTGTCTAAGGCTTATTCTGTTGTGTTTGTGAAGCTCTGTGCAATCATGGGATAAAGCACTTCATGGTGCAGTTTCCAAAGTATGTTTTGTGTGCGACTGTCACTGAAGTTCAGAAATCCCACACATGGATCAAACAATATCAAAAACAGCAAACAGAAATTTTCATTATAAAATTAACCCAAGAAATATGATAGAAGATTCAGCCCAGCAAGGACTGTGTCCCTTTCCCCCTATCAAAAATAAAAACATTTTTCCAACAATATTCAAATGTTGAAAGTCACAATTTGCAAACGACTCAACGAACATAACTATTACATATCTGTCCATGTGTTATATACAGTACTAAAAATATCCAAGTCACAATTAGGAATACACTTGTACTGTATATAGATATATGACTGACATATTGGAAAAAAGAAATTCCACAAGATTCAGAAAAAAAAAGAAAAAAAAAAAGCAATAGATGTTTCATACTCAGCTCTTTCAGGTAGTCTTGTTTCCTAAAAAAATAATAATGACAAAAAAAAAATCTTTCTGATCACATCACATAAATCACGCTATCTATATTATCGATCTAGTGCTACAGAATTTATTGCATCATTATCTTTATGCAAACAGAGCAGCAAATTATATAAGCCATTTATTTATATTTTCATTTATCTAATCCAATTTTATATTTCAGTGGGGATTACTGCTTCTGCAATTCACAAAGATTTCCTTTACAGATATAACTCTTCACAATTCTGCTACTTACCTGAGAGAATGGATAAGAAGATGGAACCAGGAATGGCAAATGTTTGTAAGCTGATATTTACATTAAGGAGAAAATAGATTAATGAAATTTTATTGAAAATATATGAACTAATAAGCTAATAAATATATAAGAAAAAAAAAACATATATATGCATACATACATAGATTCTTTAAAACACACACACACACACACACACACACACACACACACACACACACACACACACACACACACACATATATATATATACATACATATACTTACAAACATACATATAGAGATACATCTGAAATCCAACTTGGACACTTCATTAAAATGTTAGATATTCATTTCAAACATCTGCACTTTTTAAAAAGGATACAATATGTAAGTCACAAAGACTCCAGCTAACACTTCCAGGTAATATCTGTTCTTGTAGTGTGACAGTACACGACCTAAGTTCTTGGCATCTTCAATATCTGTTGGTAGCTTTATATACTGATACTCTTCCCTGTAAGAAAGTCAATAAATAAATATAATACTAATAACAATAACAAATATCTATACTTGATGAAATCCAATCAGCAATTCATGGTTTCCCAAACCTTAAAAGCAGTACAAGAGCATGAGAAAACTTCAAAACTTCACATATAACAACTATAACTTCAATCTGAGACCAACTTACGGATCCATCTGTGGGAAGTTTGTGTATACGAATGCAAGAGCACTGAAGGACACTAAGAATATAGCAACGAGAGAGAGGAGGGCACGCTGGGTGTCCATACCCTCTGCCTTCTCCGCAGCTCCGCGATCACCTTTTGTCTGCGACATCTCTGAAACAAAGGAGGGAGCCATAACTAAAGGGGAGAGGAAACTGACGCCCTTGTATGCTTGCGCAGAACAAAGATAATGAGATGGGACTGAGAAAAAATGAAAAATCAAGAAAAATCAAGAAAAAGTAAGAAAGAGAAAATTACGTAACAAGTTTTCCATTTCCAATGGATTATAGGTTGCATGTTTTTGACAATGAAAAAAAAATATATATAATGACAGCCCTAGGGATCTCCTCTAATGCTCTGGGATGTCTGTTTGACCAAAAATGAATAAATACAGAATATAATCATTAGAAAAGAATCACTAACGACAAATCAGAAGTGACAATAGAACTGTATATCCTCACAATGCATAATAATCATACACACAATTTCTGTCAAACTGACTTAACAATATAAGCAAACAGAAAATCACATACTAAAGTATTCTGAAATCATAATAATAATATCTGTGTCAAATGCTGCATATTAATTGAAATTAAGAATTTCAAATTACTCTCTTTATCAAAATATATATTTATCCATTTTATGAAAAAAAGGGAACTTACATTTTATTCTAAGGAAAATTTATGCAAAACCACTGGAATTGGAAATATACTGGATTTTCAGGTTTCTGTTTTTTAATAACTTGTAAATACTCAATCATAAAAGAGAAAAAAGAAAAGAAAAGAAAAGAAAAAGAAAAAAAAAGAAAAAAAAGAAAAAAAGAAACAAGAAATAAAAAAAAAAAAAAAAAAAAAAAAAAAAAAAAAAAAAAAATATATATATATATATATATATATATATATATATATATATATATATATATATATATATATATATATATATATATATATACATACATACATACATACATACATACATACATACATACATACATACATACATACATACATACATACATACATACATACATACATACATACATACATACATATACAGCCTTATTCCATTTCCAGTGTGACCGATGGGTTTATCAATTTTGGACATATTTTAAAGGTAAGTGGTCTCTTAGTATTATGTTTAATCTTTCTTGTCAGGAAGTTTGATAGTGATTGGTTCGTTAAAACTTAGTTTTCTGTCAGTCTGAAAATGCATACCCCTCATGCTCACCACTGTCCGCCATATTGAAGTTGTTTGAAACTGCAAATAAACTTGGTCAATATCCTTTATTAATGCCTAAAGACATCGTACATGTGTATATTTTGAATAATCATAGTCTATTGGGTCCAATGATTAGAGGTGTAGAAAGTGTTCTGCAAGCTGTTCACTGATGCTGTATCGGCAAGTTTAGGTCACGTGATCACTTTCCCGGTGGCTCATTGGCTCATTTCATTTGTTTTGTAAACAAACTGCACATCATGTACCTTCTGTGAAAATTTCAAGTGAATATCTTTAATATTAAGGAAATGGCATTAAAAAATAGTTAGAAATGGATTTCAGTTAGGGACACACTCGCTCTATTTATTTACTGTTAATTGATAGAAACAAATGGGACGCCAATTACTAATCTTTAAATGTCCATAACTTCCTTAATATAGAACCTATTCCTATGATCTAGGTGTCATTTTGAATGTCTTTTCCACCTCTACCTTAATGTTTTCTCAAAATTTGTAGTGTTTGAAATTTTTGGTCACATACCTATATAAAGATTAACACAATCAAGAAACTGCATAGGGGTCATTATCAGCTCAATATTAGCAGCAGCCTGACATGTTTTCTGAAGATATTGTCACAATAACTTTGGAGATTTTATGGTGTGCATTGACTAAATACATATGTATCACATAACTTAACATAACAATCCCCCATGTATATCTCATACACTTTCCACCTCTTAGATCTAATATCATCACCAGTATTGTCTACTACTAACTAAAACCACTATCAATGCACTATCCAATCTGCTATTATGATATTCACATCACATGCAACATTAACTCCTTTCTGATGGGTCACACACTGAGGCATCATAACAAACCACTCAATCTATAGAGTCCGACTATATGCCGCAGCGAAACGCCAAAGTGCTACAAGCCGGGGGTTGGGCTTGATGTACCGAACTCCTGCGCTCAAAGTTGGCTCATTGCCATTAATCTCCAGAGTGTTTTTTTCCTTTTCTTCACCTATCAGTAAGGGGTTAACAGACACCAAGTGATGCCCAATCACTTTGTGAAGCCATGTCACAGTTACCAGGATAAGGACTCAAATCACTTCAAAATCACCTATTTAGAAAACAAAAAAATCTATGTACATTGTACAAACTCTGGAGTCAATACAAAGTGATTATAGCCAATAATGAATATGTACACAATATGAGTAGCAATTTATGTTACATTAAGCTTAACTAGGTTATAGATTTCCGACGTATGGTTTCTTCCCCCAAGGATATACAGAAATCGAGTCATTTTCTAATATTAAATTGTGTGCTATCATTCCTAAAAAATTATTCTGTCGGTCCAAACTACAGCTTTTTATTTTTTTCCGTTTATCTTATTAAGAAGTTACACCGTCACTCCCCTTCCTGTTTCTGTAACTTAAACGTCTATTTCCTAATCAAGCTGCCAGAAGTACTCCTTCCTTCAACACATACCACGACCACCACAAACAAGACTTTATATTTACCGTCTAAATAAGATCTATCTGCTACATGAACCAATCAGGAGGCATTAAAAGTTGCAAGAGCTCAGAGCCGTTTCACCGATGTGTCAACTCGGTGTAAACAGCAGACTACATCTTTGGAAAATATATCCCCGCGTTTAAATATCCTTTTCCTTTTTAAATATTAGGCGGTAAATGGATGGTCTTATTAAATTCACGACTATGATTTGTATTCCGTATTTTATGAGAGAGTTTCGCAGGATTTTCGCTTAGTTTTTATCAAAATTTATGTTTGTGGACGCAAGATTATCGGTCATTGCGTCATCATTAGCGATCACAGCTTCAGGCACTACTGCTCTGTGTACTTACAGGGGAGATAAAAGGAGATGGATAGATGGATAGATAGGTAAATAGACAAGTAGATAGAGAGACATATAGATTGACAGAGGTAGATAGACAGATAATTAGATAAACATAAAGATAGAGAGCTAGATAGATGGACAGGCAGAGCCAGACAGATAGGAAGTTAGACATACAGATGTATATTAATATTCGCAATTTGACTACCAGTTGATAAAGCTTATTTTTCGCTCCCCCTAAAAAAAAAATCACCGGCGTGCTGTCCATTGCATCATCTGCTCCTCTGCTTATCAGTTCCACACGTTAATCTCTGTTCATTTTCTCTCACTGCCTACTTCATCATCTATATCTTTCTGTAGAATTCTACTGTTCGTGAAGGTGTATATGTATACTAATCTATCAAAGTGCGTACTAAAATTTATGTGAATTTGTTTCCCTGGATTTTTAAAAAATGACAATAAGTACTACTTTGATTTGCAGTGGTACTTCAGAATTACTCTTATTATCAGTTACTGTTATTATCATTATTATTATTAGTAGTAGTAGTAGCAGTAGTAGTAATAGTAGTAGTAGTATCATTATCATTATCATGATTATATTTATAACTATTCTTATTATATTTTTTACTATCATTATTATTGTTGATGTTATGATTGTCATTATTACTATCATTATTACTATCATTATTGTTATTGTTATTATT